CAATGTTAAAAGTGAAAAGCAGAACACCACCTATTCAACATTTGTGGTAATATGTAAAAAAAAATTAAGAACTTTAGCGCTATGAAACAGCAAGCCACATGTGTAACATAAACATAAACTCTTCCAGCAGTGACACAAAATTTTAAAAAAACAGGTAAAATAATATACTTTACTGAACTTGATATTTCTAAAATATTATCATTTCAACATGTAATCAATGTATTTTTTTTCCCGTGCTACATCGGCAAAATCCAGAGAGTAAAGGGTAAAGAACCCTCCTATTTTGACTATTCACATTTTGATTACCCACCAAGTGCTCAGTAGCCACATTCAGCTAATAGCCATTGTATGGGCAGCACAGTTTTAGACTGAAGAATCAACAGACTTTTCATTGTATCATGAAATAGAAACTTATCACTTGAACAGCTTAAAGACTTACTAAGTGAAATAGCATATCTCCTTTGAATGCCTGCTTTCACTTACCCTCAAATGTTTCTACAATGGTTTTAAGTAGTACATTTATTATGAAAATGACCCTGACATTTCCAATTCTGTAATCCCACTTCTACTCAACAGAGGGTTCTAAAGCATCTTAACTATACACACCACACTAGCAATTCCTACAGAAATTTTCCTTAGTAAAAGAATTAAGATTTGAAATTTTACCTGGACATTTTACATCCATAAAGTAAGAATTTGGACTTTGCACTAGGCGTTTCTTTTTATGTTTTTTCTTTTCCTCTTCCAAGGACGGATGTAATAAATCTCTAGCCAGCTGAATAAAGAAGCATATCATTAGTAGTTGTTTTAAACCGCAATGCCGGCACATTTAACCATACGTGAAATATACATGAAAAAACAGGAATAACGGTCATCCTCGGCAGAAGCAATACTTCAGATGGTAAACTTATTTTTCGAAACCTGTTAATAACTTTCATCAATACTTTTCATAATACTTGTGCTCTCCAAGTCTCTATCAAAGGGCTTTCTGGCGATCAGCAAACATATGGTAAGGCAAACTCCGTCCTTCTTTACTCAATTGCGTAATAAACTGTCTTCAGTGCAAACTGTGTGAGGTCGAGGTGCTAAGTAAAGAAACTGACCCCAACGTGGACTCGCTTAGAGTAGAAACTGCTGAAGTAGACCAGAGAACGCCAACTCTCGGGTGATTTTTGCTCCCGGGGCTCAACAGCTGATCTGACAGGAATTCTGGCTGAGGCGTGACCCGTACTCGACAGAATTAATATTAAGGCAACAATGAAGGCAGTTTTTAAAAAGAAAAACAAGTAGGAAATCGATTCCGAAAGAAGGCAGAGGGGGCGAGAAACACCAGCACTAGAAAAGCAAAAAGACCCAAATATCACAGCCTCAGGGGCACCCACCAAAAACCAAGAGGGCTCATAAGCTACCTAGAGAGCTTTTACCTCCAACCCCCGCCCCAGCCACCGCCTGCTGATCGCAGCCCACGCCCCTGCAGGGCCAGCCGCGCCGCGCTGACCGGGCAAGTCACTACAAGCCCGCCACGCGCGAAGACGCTGAGTGACTGGAGCCGCCTCGCCACTCTCGGACACTACAGGCCGGGGAAGCCCCCGGATTCATCCGCCCCCTATGCTCCTAGGTAGAGAAGCCCAAAACAAACCCGGACCCCAACGTAAACAACTCACAGGCATGTTGATCCTCTCGCAAGCCCAGCCCTTCCAGACCTCCCAGCCGACACCGCTAACAAGCTGCACGCGATCTGCGCTCGGCATCAACTTCCGGGATAGAGGCGACAGGGAGGAGCGGCAGGGCGGGCCTGTCCGCTCTAGGCCCTCCTCTCGGTGGTAGAAGCGGACGCTCAAGCCATGTCCGCTGGTCCAGGGTGCAGGGAGGACCTGGGAGTGGGGCGCATTCGAGGATGCCAAGTCCTGTGGGTCTAAACGGGGTCGTCGGCGAGGGCCGCGGACTCTGCGATGCCTGAGGCCAGGATCTGGCTGGGGAGCGGCGTCGGGCTTAGGCTGTTGCGAGGGAGCGCCCTCGGCCACCCTGGCCCGCGCAACCCCGGAACCCGGAGGCCTCTCGGCCCCAGCCCCCTGGCCCGGCCGCTCTCGCTCGGCTCTCGAGGTGGGCACACGGGGCGATGCCACTATTCTCTTCTTTTGTGTATTAAAAAATACAGCACTATTAACCATTAGTATGTGCCAGAGAGATGAAAGAGGCCCGTATCCTTTTGGCTTCCCTTTCCAAGGCGCCGATTTCGAAGTTCTCTGCAGGGTGTGGCTGTGCCTTAGGTTTGTTTCGTTCTGAAAAAAAAAAGTGTTTAAAACAGCACCGGTTAGCTGCTGTGCCTCGTTCACTCACAGACCCACCTTCTGGGGATTACAAGTGCTTTGCAGAATGGACAACTCGGGGGCCTGAGAAAGGCGAATGTCACTGATAGCCGAACATGAATCTTCATTATTATTATTATTATTTGAGGCAAGGTCTCGCTCGCTCTGTTGCCCAGGCTGGAATGCAGTGGTGCCATCACAGCTCACTCAGCCTCAACCTCCTGGGCTCAAGCGATTCCCTCGCCTCAGCCTTCCGAATAGCTGGGACCACAGGATCACCCCACTATTCTAACTTTTTGTAGAGACAGGGTGCTGCTATATTGCCCAGGCTCAAGCAGTCCTCTCACCTCAGCTTCCCAAGTAGTTGGGACCACAGGCACGTGCCACCACGCTCTATTTTTTTTTTTTTTCCGAGACGGAGTTTCGCTCTTGTTACCCAGGCTGGAGTGCAGTGGTGCGATCTTGGTTCACTGCAACCTCCGCCTCCCGAGTTCATGCGATTCTCCTGCCTCAGCCTCCCAAGCAGTTGAGATTACAGGAGCCCCCCACTATGGCCGGCTACTTGTTGTGTTTTTAGTAGAGACGAGGGTTTCACTATGTTGGTCAGGCTGGTCGAACTCCTGACCTCAAGTGATCCACCCTCCTCGGCCTTCCAAAGTGCCGGGATTATAGGCGTGAGCCATCGCGTCTGGCCCTAACTGGATGTTCTTAATCACCTTGTCTTTGCAAAAAGGACAAATGTATAATATACATTTTGGGAAATGCAGAAAAAGAGAAGAAAATTTACCATCTGGAGATAAACATTTTTAACTTTTGACCTATATCCTTCCCAATATTTTTTATTCACTTGGATATAGGTTTATTTTGGGTTTTGATTTAACCTAACTGGGATCATCATGTGCATAATCTTTTGTAGACTTGAGTTTTCCTCCCACTTACTATAAAATAAGCATTGCTTGGTATCACTACATATTCTTTTTTTTTTTTTTT